TATTATATTATGCTTTTTCTGCAATCACAACTAAAACAATTTGAAATAATGTATTTTACAAAGTACTCTGAGACATGAAATATAGCATAGAAGAGTTACATATGGCCAAGAGGCACATTAAGCTAGCAAGTTTAGTTCCTAGCCTACTGTCGCACAAATATGTCAGGAAAAGAAAATTAATTAGTATCTACACACAGGAAGATAAAAAGACTAACGATAAAAAAAAAAAAAAACAAAACCTAAATCAAGAATCCAGTTACTCACCACCTTCCCTCCACCCACAGGCTGAATGAATAATGGGCACAACAGAGCCCGAAAGTCAGCACTATCTACTACAATATCAAATAAGCCAAACTTTTGCAAATGCAAAGGGAAAGCTAACTCTAGAAGGACACAACAAAAGTGATACACTTATTTTTCCACTATCATTGGTAAACAATTTAAAATATCTTTATGAAGTACTATGTTACAGAGCAACCTAGGAAACCCAGCATAGAATAATACATTTTCAACAAAACCGTGGGGTTGTGTGTCAAGTAGCCAATAGTAGGTTTTGAGTCCTGGTCTACTTATTCGCAGGGAAAAAAACAAAACAGAAAGCCAGTGAAAAGATCATGTTCATACACAGGCAAATAAAAGGATTAAGGTTAATAAATAAATAAAAACAAAAACTTGACAGAAGCTGAAAGAATATAAGCAGTAACAGATCAATTTCAAGTCCTCTCCTCCACCATAAGATATATAACATTTCTAAATGTAAATTCGAGACTAATCACTTCTTCTGTCATGACTCAGACTTAACACAGTCTAATGATATCCACGCACACAGCAATTTTTTTTGGTGGGGGGAGTATAGTGGACCTCGGGAACACAGCCAAAAAGAAGAGGGTCTGTAACAGCGTACAAGGAGGCAAAGAAAAACTGCGAAAAAAAATAAAGAAGCCAGCCGGTCAGCCACTTCTCTGGGCACTCAGAACCGACTCAACGGCACACAGCAACAAACAGATTTTCCTACAGTCGAATGAACACTGGCAACAAGGGAGCTAAACGCTACGCCCCTTCTATCGTCTCTGCCATAAACCAAATACCAACCCCGCTGCTGTGGATTCGGGCTCACAGCGACCCTACAGGACAGAGCACAACTGCCCCATTGGGTTTCCACGGCTGGGACCGTCACGGCTGCGGAAAGCCACGTGTCTCTCCCGCAGGGCCGCTGGTGGGGTCCGACGCTCATCTTTCGCTTGGCAGTCGAGGTCTTAGCCCCTGGGCCACCGGGGCTCTTTCACAAAAACCAAACCCCTCTGCTGTCCATTCCGACTCAGCGACCCTATAGGACAGAGGAGAAGTGCCCCGGAGGGTTTCCAAGGACCGGCAGGTGGATTTGAACCGCCGACCTTTTGGTTAGCATTCGAGCTCTTAACCGCTGCGCCACCAGGGCTCCATGTCTGTCACAGCTGACGTTGTTTCCAAAGCCAACCGGCGGGTAATTCTAACCGGAAAACCCAAACCCAAACCGAGCAAGCCCCGCAGGCCGGGGGCGATCCGAGCGGCCGCCGAGGCCCGCAGCGCCCGCGCCCGGGGAGGCCCTCGGGCCCCTCCGGGAGAAACGCTCGGCCGGGAAGGGCGCAGCGCCGACCGTCTGCTGAAGCCCAGCGAGCCTGCGAATGTTCTAGACCCTCCATCTAGGCTTTTTTCTTTTTCAGCTAAAAGGGCGACACACTGTTCCGGGTCCTCCGCCACCAAGCGAAACCCACGGCCGCTTAATGGCGCCCTCCGCGAGGCCCAGGGGAGGTTCGCGCCTCACGACTTCGCCGCCGAAGGCCGGGCTCAAGGGCCGACAGGGGAGCGGGCACAGGCACGAGGCGAAGGACAAACGCCGCCGGGCCCCCACGGCGAAGCCGCGAGGCCGGCCGACACCCCGTTTTCCCGTGTCAAGCAGCCTCTGTGAGGAGCGGTCAGGCCCGGGCCGCCGCCCACCGGGGCGGGAGGCGAGGGGCCTTCCCTGTGGCCGGGCCCAGGCCTCCACGTCCCGTCAGGAGCCGCCCGCCCGCCCGGGAGGCTCCGGCCTCCGGCGTCTCCCTCAGCCCCACCTCACCCCCGGCATTTCCACAGCGGCCCCGGCCCAACTGTCGGGCGTCCCCCTCCTGGAGGCCCCGAGCGAGCCCGCACGCTCCCTACTCGCGCCCGACGCCGTACCTACCTGCTGCTCAAGTAGGCCTTGGCTGGAGTCGCCGCCACCACCGCGCGGCGTAGTCTCTCGCCTCAGGCGCCGCCGAGCGCCTCGGGGAGCGGCCGGAAGGCGGGAAGCGCCCGCCCAATCTGCACGGCTTCTGGTGGCGCCCTGTCCAATCAGCGCCGCCGGTCGGCCAGGCCCCGCCCCTCGCGTCCGTCGTGACGCTGGGGCCGCCTGAGGCCTGCGGCAGGGGCGCCGCGGCCTGCTGGGGTCCCGGGCCTTAGGCAAGGGGGTGCCTCGGCACACCTCGCCCAGGCGATGGCCCCGCGGAGTAAACAGTACCTCGAATGTAAACGCTGTGCGCCAGCGCTCGCTCGACGGACGCTGACCGCAACAAGTGTCACCCACCGTCCCCTCACGCCCCAGACCCCTAGCCTTGCTGACGGGCAACGTCCAGCCGTGGGAACACGCTGGGCGTCCTGGCTCGTCTGCTCGCAGAGATGGGCGAGGGGCAGCCGTGGGGAGAGCCGGAGAGGTGATAGGCCGGGATGAGCACCTCAGTCTCCCCAAAATCACTTGAGAGGGCTGGGACGGCGGCAGTAGAGACATTAGGGTCACCGGCCACACCTGCCAACAGGCACTTCTGTGAGGATTTGGGGGAGGGACGCGAGGACTGACACCCCCTTCAAAAGGTCCGTGCCCCCGGCCAGACCCCGGGTTTCCTAGAAGCTGTGTGGGAGGAGGCTGAGCAGGATCATCAACACATTTTAGACTTTTTCAATTTTTAAATAAAGTACCCATTTAAACTATAAAACCAATACATGCTTGTGTAAAAAGAGGCAAGCGATTTAGAAATGGACACAGCAGACAATGCAAGGTCCTCATCACGTCCTTTGGAGGCAATCGTCGAGTGCTCAGCCACCTGGGCGCTTTCCCCACGTTTGTCAAAAACAAAACGGGCTGGAGCTCTGGTACTGTTCTGCAGTTTGTTCACTTTCTATGACGTGAACATTGCTGCACGTGTATTAAGAAGGAGCTAAGTCTTTTTAACAGCTGCACAGTGTTTAATAACGTGGATTAACAACATTGAACCAATTCTGTCCTCTGTTGATGAATGTTTATAGCACTTTGTAATTTTCACGTCTGTTACAAATGATACGTTTGTGTTGGATCAGTTTCCCAAAATGTGACTTCTGTGGCAAGGGGTGTGTAGAATTAAACGTGTTATAGATGTTGCGAAGTCAAATTATAAAATTACATTTTAGTAACATCTTAATTTCCTATCTAAAAGTCACCAACGGCTTTAAAATATTGCACTTGGAAAAATAAAAGGGAAAAGAATAAAAACACAGCTGAAGATCAAAGCAGATCAAATCACATGGAATAACATAAATTTTCAAAAGCGTATTTAATATTGTTTGGCTAGGGCTCTCTGGGACTTGAATTACAAAATTCTTGACAACTATGTAGCTCACTCACTGAGCTTAATTTTTATGTTAATTTTTTTAAAATGAAGGCTGACAAATTAGACATGCAATATAATGTACATAGGCAGGGATTTGGGGGAATTTTATATGAGCAAATTTTCAATATTTTTAAAGTCTTCACACATTTAAATGCTATTAATGTATAATACAAAATACACGATTGTAGGGTGCTTTAATCTCATGACCTGACAACTTTGTGTAATGACCATTTCCACATCTACTTTTTCTCCAATAGATTTCACAATCTTCCTGACAAAGCAGTTGTGAATGTACAGCTTACTAAAACACTTCAAAAACTAAAAATTGTACTCTTACCTTGCCACTTTCTAGCAAAGAAAAATGTTTTACCCCTTTTTGTTTCATATTTTCAGAAAGCAAAGGGATTATTTAGTAAACATCAGTAAACTAACACTTGGAAGAAAAAAATACATCCCTAACTGAATCCCCTCAGAACTGTTTTTAAAAGGTTTAGATTATGGTGTAAGGTGGAGAACCTTATCAGTTAAAATCTGGCTTTCAATTAAACTTAACACTTACTGGGAACATCCTCTATGTGCCATGCACACAGCCCTGGCAGTGCAGTGGTTAAGAGTTCGGCCGCTAACCAGAAGGTCGGCAGTTCAAATCTACCAGATGCGCCTAGGAAACTATGGAGTTTTACCCTGTCCTATACGGTCCCTATCAGTCAGAGCTGACTTGACGGTTTTTATATGCACCATCACATGGCAGAGAAAGCATGGACTTTGGAGTTTGGTATAGGTTGGAATGCTGATTTTGCTACTTACCAGCTGTGGGACTTTAGGCAAATGACTTAACCTCTCCGAGCTTCATTCTTTCCAGTTAAGAAAGTGGGGATATTAGCAACCAAGGAGCATAATTTTATGAATTAAAATGAATTCAAATTAAATAAAATCAAACACATAAAGCACTGTAGCCAAGCAAACGGGAGAGAACACAATAAAAGTTCATTTCCTGCCCTTTGTGCAAGGCCCTGTATGTGGCTGATGGTCACAATCCAGGGGAAAAACAGATACACGCTAATTATTCATTACACAGGTGTCCACAAGGGCTGTGAGAGAAATACAATGTCGTCCTTTTTATTCCTCTAGAGTTTTCTTTATATGTTAATGCTGACTTAGCCTATAAGATTGGCTTTTAGTTTCTCAAAGGCATACACACCTACTACTGAAACTGAGGTACAATCATAGCAAAGCACTGAATTTGACAGTGTTTTAGAAAACGATAAGATGTATGTCTGAAATGATTTAAACAAGCAAGATGTTTCTACAGCTTTTTCTGTAACAAGAAAAACACCCCAGTACAAGAAAAGCACACGACCATTTGTGCATATATACTTTAATACTTAAGTTGGAGTAAAATCATTTTAAATTACAAACATTAATATATGTTTGGGGAGACAGCCCAGCAATTGCACAATCTGTTATAAAATTTTCACATCTAAGCAACATAACTGTATTTTAGGGCCTGAAAGTTCTCCAGCTGTCCCACAGCATCTTTATCAACTAGGTAGGTATATGCAAGCTTTAGGTTTCAAAAAGTTAATAATTTTTAAAAGGCACCTTGAGGTTCTTTGACTCTGAAAGACATAGCATTTACTTTATTTTCCATGACCAGAAACTTTTCAGCAAGTGCTTTCACATAGATTACAAGATTCTCCACATGCCTTTAATATAGCATATATATACATATAGCAGCTCTAACTCTTAAACACCCAAATGCTCTGGACAATTTTCTTGCACAGAGCATAGGGCACAGAAGCCAGGCTTGTTGCCCCAGATGGTCAGTTTGTTAAACAGCAGGTAAAGCAAACAGGCGTCTCTCTCCTCCATGTCAACGCACTGTGCTCATAGCCAGAGGTTGTTCAATTCAATGACAATGTATTAAATCAAAATCCAGTGTTCTCGGATCAGCAGAGGCCAAAGAAAGCCATCCCTATCCCCGACAAGTTTAAAAAAACACAGAAGTTGCAATTATCCAAAACTAGTTGGTCAAAAGGCAAAACGCATCCTTTAAAATTGATTTGACAAATGTCAACTAGCATTAAAAAAACTTAAGTCAGTTCACTGGTGACAGCTATCCCAATATTGGCCACATTGGTTTCAACTGTGTCATAAAGAAAGAAACTTGCCAAGTTGGAGATACTCAGGGCTTCAAGCCAATCTTGTTAAAAATGTAACAAGATCTTACCTAAGAATCACCTGGGCACCTCGTTAAACTCTAGGTTCTGATATAATATATCTGGGGTGGAACAGCAAAGTCTCAGCAGGGGTTCAAACTGCAATGAAGCGCTTGGAAACCCTGAGATACTGTTCATTTTGGTTGGTTTTTTCACACCTCATTGCTAGCACCTGCTGTCACAGAGACCACTCAGCACCAACAGAAATCATCACCCTTGCTGGGAGTATAATGACTGTGGCACTTTGCGAGGCACAGCGGCCTTGACTTGTTGATTGGAGGTCAAAAAATGCATTTACCATCTCAAATCTGCGAAACAAGTCCAGAAATGTTAATGAAACAAGCAACAAAACTCTTCCATCTGAAGGCACAAAGAATAAAGCTGGCAGGTAGCTGATAATTTCAGGCCTACATAAACGCCATTTAAAACAATTAAGAAACAGAAACACTCGTGGACTATTCTTCCCCCAGTGTTCTGGCTTTTGCTGTAAACACTTTCTAGCGCCCACGTGGTAACCTGACTTTTGAAAGATGACTGCTGGAAACTTTGATGCTAAAGAAGACCCAAAAGGAATCATCCCAATCATCAAAAAGGTAATTGCAAAGGACACTGTCACCTGAAATTCTATAGCATCACCTGAAAATTTAAATAAGGCAAGCGTCCTTCAAATGTTCAGGTTGTTTCCAACCTCAACGGAACGACCTGACAATGTGCAAATCACGACCAAACACGTACGAGAAAAATACATGCGGTGAGCAGTGTGACTGCGGAGAGGGGACTATTTTGCTAGTTAGAAAGTTTTAAGCTTATTTCCCTCTCCTCAAATGTCGATGTAGGAGACATCCAGCTAAGCAGGGCCGCCTCAACTCCGGGGAGTGGTTGTGTGGCAACTGACGAGGCATACATTTCTTGCCTATTAATAGTTTCCCACTGTTAGAAGGCTAGAGACATTGGCAAGCCAACACGATCTCAGATTTTCCTTGTCCTGTGGCAGGATAGCCTGCACGGATCCTGACGCGGCTCACACTGAACATTGTTTACAATGGGCACCACAGACACACCACTTTTTTTTTGTTTTGAGCTTATTAAATCCCGAATGTTCCTAATGGCGCAAGGCCCTGCATCACGATTATAATAAATAACAGCGAGGTTTACAGAGACACACCCAAAACACATGCCAAGAGCCACAGGCCTTCCTAAAGGAGGGGCGGGTCTTCCCAAAGAGACCCGGCCTGGGTCCTCCCCTGAGGGGCCGACTCTCGCATGCACCCTACCACTCAGGTACCCTCCCCCAGCACAGGAAACAAGCCGCCTTCTGGCCACCAGAGGCGACGTTTTAGACCAAGTGACAGACGATTCAAGCAGAGACAGGACGGGCCACTGCCAGGGGACCTCGCAGCAGAAAGCACGCTCAGACGACTTGGGGGGGCAGGGCGGTGGTGTGGGAAGAGCAGCCACGCAGGTGTGCGAGCCGGCCGGCGGATGGCAGCAGGTGCGGCTCAGATGAAGTGGATCCAGCTCTCCTCACACTCGCCGCGCGGCATGTGCAGCGCGTGGCTGCGGCAGGTGAGGCTGTAGTCGTGGCCGTTGTTGTTGTCCCAGTGTTCAGCGCCCGCCACACGGTAGCGCAGCGCGAAGTGCACGCGCGCGCCGAGCGCCAGCACAAAGGGCGGTACCGGCAAGCTGAAGGCGAAGACGTCTTCGGTGCCCGTCACGTCCGCGGACCCGCGCCAGCGCGCCGTCGCCTCGTGCGCACTGCGCCAGCCAGAGAATGTGTAGCGCACGGCCACCTGCTTCTCGAAGGCCACGTTGCGCACGCGCACCGTGCCGCAGATGCCCAGGTCAGAGCAGGTGACGCGCTCTAGGCACACAAGCTGCCGTTGCAGCCGTTCGCCAAAGTCGGCGGCCTCGACGGGCGGCGAGAAGTCGGGCACCAGGCACTGCAGCGTGAACTCCAGGTCCTCGCTGCTGCAGCACAGGTCCGCGTTGATAGCGAGCCGCGACAACACGTGCAGCGGCACCGCCGGGTCGTCGCCCGCGTTGAACACCTTGACCTGCGCCAGCTCCAGGCCCAGCGCGTCGGCGAAGCGCACGCGGAGCTGCCGGCTGCAGCCCCGCCGGCACACAGCCCCCGGCGCGCCCGCGT